TGGACTGAAGATGACAGAGTCCACATTCTGGACTGAGGACGACCGAGTTCATGTTCTGAACTGAGGATCACAGTGTCCCGAATGAAGACCACAATGTCCACGTTCTGGACTGAGGACGACATAGTCCACGTTCTGGACTGAAGACGACAGAATCCACGTTCTGGACTGAAAACGACAGAGGCCATGTTGTAGACTGAGGACGACAGAGTCCACGTTCTGGACTGAGGACAACAGAGTCCCTGTTCTTGACATGAGGATGACAAAGTCTGAGTTCTGGACTGAAGACTACAGGGTCCACGTTCTGGACTAAAGACGACAGAGTCCACGTTCTGGACTGAAAACGACAGAGTCCACATATTGGACATGAGGATGACAGAGTCCGAGTTCTGGACCAGCATCACAAAGTCCTAATCTCAGGTCCCAGGGTTCAGTTTTCTTTGCAGTAATTAGTTGGACAGTGATTTTTGGACAAATGTCCATCTGGAGTGAAGGACAGACCGTTTGCTGTAACTGAACATCTGTCCTCTGCTCCGCAGCGTTGCCAGATAAAACAAAGCGGGTGCCAGGCGGTGACGGAGCGTAAGAATGTAAAGCTGTCGGATCTGCTGAGTCCTGCTCGCAGATCCAGACCCTCCAAGGCCTCCCGCCTGACGCTCGGTCTCTGTTGGGGCTAAAGTTAGACGACCCCCGGCTGAGCGATTGTTTCGGCTGATGGTGCAAACACGACTCGATCTGCCAGGTGGCATGACTGACAGCCGGACTGAAGGCTTCGAGAGGCGCCGGCTTTGAATGAAGCACCTCGGTGGACCCTTGTTGTCTCCTCGTGACAAGACGTGGAAATCCACATTTACCTCATCGTTCTACCTCCCTTGTCTCTACAGAGCTTCAAACGCACCTTCTTATTTTTACCTCTTCAAACGATGCAGTCGGAGGCAGGTTTGGTTTTTTATTGTCCCTCCTAATGAAGACGTCTTTACTATGTCGTCCTTAGACACGACGACTCTGATCCTCTCAGCAGCCATCACAGGAAACAAACGCTCCAACGCCGGATGGTTGGACACGAAAGGCTGACGTGTCCAACATGCCGGGAGTTTTGGGTCTTTGAGCTCCGGTGTAATTTTAGTTGTCATGGTTACCATTTGAATGGTCCAAATGTCAGTTTCCTGCACCTGCTGTCTCCGAATGATCGAAGTTTCCTTCTCTGGACTGATGGGACGTTTCCAAGCCCTTCGTATGCTCGCAGGCCAACATGTGTCCAAGTGTCTGACTCCTCCGGGGATGGAAGCCGGGACTTTTATCTGTCAGCCCTCACAATGTTTGCTCTAAGTGACTCTCAGCTACTACCTCATCATATTACAGCTCAGTCGGTGTAAAATGAACTGAATTAGAGGCAGTTTGTGTTTGTTGGTTCCATCAGCTGTGGCTGACATCTTGGAAGGTGCTAATCCCAAAATATAACCCACTGTTTGGTGATTACTTTGTGGGAGATTCTTTAAAACCCTTCCAGTGGGTCAGGAGATATTTTGCTAACACTGCAGACTCACTTTCATCTGTGGTGTATTTAGCTCGTGTATGGAGGGAGGAGCGGGTTCAGTTTCATGTTTGTGTGAGTCCCAGATGAAGAAACTTGTTTTGGACCAAAGACCTCCAGGTATAACATCCCACAAGGTCAATCAGGAAAACTGAACCTTAAACCTTAACTATTATTATTAGTTAAGATTATTGAGCATGCATCAGGACCTTATGGGGAAAAATCAACCACGTTTATTTTCATCTACTTTTATTCGTGAATTTATCTTGAAGTTAACGAACGTGATTATTTCCGATAAAGCTTAAAAATCCTTCTCATTTATTTATTTTTGTCAGAATTGGTTGAAAGGCTCTGTAACCTCACAGCAACTTCACTACGCTCTCGCTGTCCGGAAAAACCACCACAGTGAAATCCCTTTATAAATGCCGTTTTTTTTTTTATTCTAACAGAAAATACAACGTTCCTCCCAGCAATGCTTTTTACTCCATCACTACACTTTCAGGTTTTACATCAGCTCATGAAGTGGTGCTGCTCTTTAACATTTGAGAGCCTCAGAGAACTTTAGGATGGTTCCCTCAGCCTGGAGGCAGAACCTCCAATCATCCAGACGCCTCTCGTCTCGCCTGACAAAAAAAGATAAACTGGTTAAAAAAACTCCACGTCAGAGAGTTTGACTGAACATGATCTGGACCTGATGGGTCCGTTGGGCTGGAGTTTTTATAAAGTGTCAAAAATCATTCTGGGTGGGGGGAATGTGTTTTTATTTATATAATAAACATTTTATTGATTTAAATTAAGAAACTTGGATTTTTATAAAAATAAAAAGCCTTAAAGAGTTAAAATAATAATGAATGGTTTTATTTCAGGTGGCTCTAAAACCTTTATTGTCTAAAAGAAACTCAACCAAAGGTTTTTTATAAATCAGCCGGTGGTTCGATCTCCTGTCCGAAACTTAAAGACCTGCAGCCGTCACCGGGGTCTGGAGCTCCTCCAGGGTCTTCAGGGATTCTGGTGTGTTGAGTCTGAACAGGAAGTTCTTCAGGAGGTTATCAGCAGCTCCTTCATGGGCCTGAGGTCCACTCGGGCCTGAGGTCGATGAGCTGGGGGGCTTCTGGAGAAGGCCAGGTGTTGTGAGGCTGGTGAACGGTCGTGACTGGACTTCACACTCTGAACCACCGTGCACCGTCCAGCCTGGAACAGATTTCTTCTGTCGGACGACCGGCTCCCAGTTTCAGGTTCTGGTACCTCTGATGACATCGCTTGCTCCATCTGTGTGGCAGCAGATCTTAATAGGACCAAAGATTTCAGGTGGTACAGATGAACATGGGCAGCAGGTCTTAGCAGGACCAAAGGTTCCAGGTGGTCCAGATGAACATGGGCAGCAGGTCTTAGCAGGACCAAAGGTTCCAGGTGGTCCAGATGAACATGGGCAGCTGGTCTTAGCAGGACCAAAGGTTCCTGGTGGTCCAGATGAACTTGGTCAGGACAAAAGATTTCAGGTGGTCCAGATGAACGTGGGCAGCAGGTCTTAGATCATTCAGGACTCTCGTGATCAATATTTACCTTCTGACGCTTAGTGAGCTGAATTCAGCCGCTCGAAGGAAACATACGAGTCAAACTTCATGTCCTGGATTCTTTCAGCAGTTTTTAAAAGTTCTGGTCTTGTTTCGGACCACTTTACCACCCTGCGGACCATGTGAAGGGGTTTTATTTTGAAATGTTTAAGGAACCAACACGCAACACGTCTGAGGCTCTTATTATGAAGGGGTGAAGAACGTTTCAGACCTGAGATAAAAAGTTTTATGTCTCTGGAGGTCTTCCATCCATCTTCTCTCTTGTTGTGAATGGACTGAGACGTCCAGCTGGTCCAGGTCCAGGTCAGAGAGGACACGTCAGCTGGTCCTGTCTTCAGGACAGCCTGAGTCAGCCCCTGCCCCCCACGTGGATCCATTCAGGACTTTGGCTCGGGTGTAACACGTACGGCTCTGTCGGTGTGACAGTTAGCCTGCTGGTTTCGAACCTGCGGCTGTGGTCCAGAACTCCACCGTGACATCAGCTCCAGGGAATGCAGGGTACCTCTACACCCGGCTCTAAGAAAAGCCGGCCCACCTCCAGTGACCCGGTCCAAAGTCCATCCCACGTTCTTTTTTTACGGAGGGACTTCTAAAATAAAACCAGCTGTCACCAGAAGCCGGGGCCCCACTGAGCTGGTCTCCAGACCCGCAGATCCGTCCCACTCGTGTCCTGTCCAAACGAGTCCGGCTGACTGAACCTGCTGCACTTTCTGGACCCGGTTCTGATCCGTTGGATTGTATCCGTGCTGGTGGAGGGACGTGTGGTGCTGAAGGTAAGACATGTCTGCTGAGTGTGTCTCTGTTGGACCCGTGTCCAGATGGCTGGACGTCCTCTTGATGACATCATCAATCAACGTCCTCGTCCTGTCTCCAGACGCCCGCCGGACCTAAAATCTGCTGAAAGCTAAACCAGTTTGGAGCTAAAGATCTGAAGTGAGGCGGCGCTCCTCGGTCTGAAGTTCTGACCCGTTTGATTATTGGGCCAGGAGGAGAGGGACACCCCCCCCCGGGCTGATGTTCCAGTGAGTGCAGTTCACTCGGCCTCCTGTCAGAACCAGGCGAAGACTCCGAGCTGCGTCGCCGAAGGACGGGGTGGACGGTCTCTGACAGACATAGGTCTGCGGTCCTTGAACTCACCACCTGAAACCTAGGAATCACCCTGACTTTGTTCCCCCCACCCCCCCTTATGGAACCACTCGCTGACTCTGTGTCCCCCCCATGGAGCCACTCACTGATGCCTCACCCTCCACACCGGCGGTTCGAGACCCAAACCTCCGGTCACTTTGCAGCAGCGAGGACGACGCTGGGCCTCCTGAGCTCAAAATAACAACGAGTCAGACTCAGCAGACCCCCCCCCCCCCCCCCGTCTTCCTGTAACGAGGGAACATGACGCTGCAGACAGAGACGGTTTATAAAAAGCCTCCTCGAGCCCCCCCCCCCCCCTTACCCCCCCTCCATGGCAGCTCTGTTCATGCCTTACGGGGAAAGATCTGTGGTTGTCCCCCCCCGCGCGCCCGGCGGGTGTGTGGGTGAGTTTTGGGTGTGTTTTTGGGGGGGGGGGGGGGGGGGTCCTGAAGGTTTGTTTGCTTCTGGCTGCCCCTCGGCTCAACATGAGCAGAACCAGGAGCTGACGTCAGCCGAAGCCTAGTCGCCTAATCCCCCGTCCTGATGTTCATAGAAATGTTTCGACGTGTCCCAGGAAGAACTTTGAGCTCGTGAGACGTCTCTTCAGACGACCAAAAGACGTCTTACGTACAAATCTGTCCCGGAGGTCCATTTACTAAAACTTCTGTCTCAGCTCCCCCCGGGAGTCGAGCGGAGTCGAACCTTCGGTTCAACAGGAAGCCGTCGGCGTGTTTAACGACCTCTTTGTCTCTCTCAGCTGTAGGCGGCCCCGACAGACCCAGGTCCAGACGTCCAGAGGAGAGGGCGCCGAGCGAGGACAACCAGGACGCCAGGCCTACGTCGGTCAAAGAGAGGATGGCCATGTACGAAGCAGCCGTGTCCACCAAGGACAGCTCGTCCTCTGCTGTGGTAAGACGATGTGTCCACAGGTCTGTGAGGACGTCTGGGGGGTCTGCAGACCTCAGCAGACGTCTGGATTTTGAACCCAGAGACAGTCAGGGGCAGCTGTGGCTCAGTGGTTCGAGCGGTCGTCCTCCGATGGGAGATTCGGGGGTTCGATTCCACCAGCAGTCACATGTTGAAGTGTCCCTGAGCGAGACACTGAACCCCTCACTGTCTCGGATGTGTGTCCCATCGGTGTCTGGATGTGGGTGTGGAGTTGAGTCACATCACCAACTGATGTGGCCGCACATCACTGTGATGTCACTTCCTGTTTCTCTCCGGCTGCATCAGGATCAAAAGAAAAATGTCAGTCATGTGACACGTCTTGTCACATTTATTTTGTAAACGTTCCACTTGTTGTTACGTCTCCAACTGAAACCACCTTCTGCCGACGGACTCTCAGCTACTACCACCCCAACCTTCAGCCGTCAAAGTTTGTGTCGGCCATCTTGACTCAGGCTGACGATGTTCCCGACTCTTTTATGAATGTTCTGCTTTAAATAACGGAGAAACAATAAAACTCGATCAGCTCAGGGTTGTAACGTCCACAGACTCCGCTGAGGCCTCGTGAGGAGATGATTGACAGCTGGAGGTGTGCGTGCTTCCTGTTCGCAGCAGCTGTCGTCGGCCACATTTAACCGACAGTGAGCCTAAAGATGGCGGTGGTCCTCGACGTGTTTCCTTCAACCTTCAGCAGTTTTTTTACGTTAGGTCCTATTTGGCAACAAGCTTGACTGCGTGCTGCCGTTTCAGGAGGCGTGAGTCCTGAACGCAGACGCACACGAGGAAAAAGTGGGCGTGGCCGCCAGAACCTGACGCACAGACAAACTGGCGAAACCTCACAGAGCACGTAGGGCGACGTCGGGAAACCAAATCTCTGCTGAGGCGACGATGAGTTGACAGAAACTAACAGGGTTAATGAGAGGAGTGGCTGCAGCTGGGACAGGTGAGCAGGTGGGCGTGGCCAGCTGAGAACGAACGTGAAATGAAAACGCTGCGCTTGTGTTCTCGTAACGATGAGAACAAACAAACCCGCACTGAGCTGAAGTCTGGTGTGGTAGTAGCTGAGAGTCATTCACAACACACACCCTGAGGACTTCTAGTAGCAGCTGCTGCTCGTCTGTTAGCAAAATATCTCGTAAGTTACAGGAGAAGTTTTTATCTTTCATGTTGGACGACGTTAAACGTTAAACTGATCTGATCTGTTCCGACTTCCTGCAATGTTTTTTCTTCGTTCTTCATAAAAATAAATAAATAATTAAATAATAAATATGTAAATAACTTATATATATATATATATATATATATAATATAAGCAATAAATATATAAATTATATAAATAATATATATATAAATAATATAAATAATAAATACATATATAAATAATATATATATATATATGTGTGTGTGTGTGTGTGGTGTGTAAATAATATAAATAAATTATATATTTATATGTATATAAATAATAAATATATAAATAATTCATATATAAATAATAATGTATAAATACCGACCTGACCAAGAAAAGTTTGTCCAGATGTTTGAACTCTTTTCTGTGAACCTGCCCAGCTGTTATTCTGTTTTATACGATTGATTTTTTAAAATGTTGCTCTAACAAAACCTTCACGACTGGAAAATAATCATTTTACTCGTGTTTACATTCCTTTAGTTTATTAGAAAAGCTAAATTTAATAAAAAACCTAAAATCAATGTTTAATTTAGGAACTCCGTCGGCACTCGTTCATAACGACACCAACTCACAGATTGAGACCGGATCGACAGCCGAGACAGGAATGAAAAGTCTTTTTCTACAAACGCTATAGTCTGAGCTTTAAGAAATAAAAAACTTAAATCAGACAAAGTTCTTACGATCAATTATTCATAACAGACTCATCTCTTGAGACCAGGAAGACCAGGATCAGAGACTGAGACCCGATCGAGTCTTCTCAGACGGTCTTTTCTACAAACTGATGCTCTTCAGTTTGACCTCAACGCTTCGACTGAAGAGAGCAGAACAAGTTCCCTAAACGGTTCTCCATTTTATGATTAGTTATAATGACATCAACTCAGATTTAGACCAGGGCTGTCCAGTCCTGGTCCTGCAGGGCCACTGTCCTGCACGTTTTAGATGTTCTCTGCTCCATACACCTGATTTAAAAGTCTTCTGCAGATTGACCATAGAATCAGGTGTGTTGGAGCAGGGAGACAGGACCACTGATGGGCGAGCGGCCTACAAGCAGATCCACTTATTATGATTTAGAAATGAAAAGAGTCGTTGCCATCAGTATTGTGGTAATGCCTTCTTTGAGGCAGTTCTGTCCGGTGATATCTGCTTGTTTGTGTCTCTGACCTGCTGAAGTGGACAGGAAGTAGACGGCAGCAGAGCTACTTTTCCCCGAGGAAGTAAGACCCTGAAGGCCCCGCCCTCAGAACATGACCGAGCCTCGCCCTCCGAATGTGACCAGGCCCCGCCCTCAGAATGTGACCAGGCCCCGCCCTCAGAATGTGACCAGGCCCC